TACAGTCGGTGGGCAGCCGTGAGTGCTATGTCTGCTCTAACATCTTTCCCACCCTGTATTGTTTCAGTTTAATTTATTATGTAAACTTTTTCGTTTTCATACAAAAATTCATTTATTTATACAATGTAAAGAATGTAGTTTATTTAAAACTAGGATAGTTTCATCACTGGTAGATAAGACTTACTCTGCAGTTGTCATTAGGATTACAGTGAGTAATATGATTAATGTCAAATTTGTATTATTATAAACCACATTTCTACACTTTTAGATTATAGATATACAAAACTACATGTAATTGCACAAAGCAATAGATTGACAAATTATCCTGGAAATGGCTACATATGCGCACTGAAAGGTCAAACAAAATGAATTATTTACAATTTGGGTGCATATACATGTACAGTGACTAGCTGGCAAGAGTACATTGTACGTTTGTATTCAAAGATAAAATAGCAGTGATGTTCACATGTACATGTCTGTGTCTATGTCAATAAAACAAACTTGAGGTACATGTAGCTGTTTTGTAACAGATCACCTGTTATTGAAATGCCACATTCTCATTGGCTGATCATTACCATCTTCAGTCCTGTTATCAGATAATAACAGAACAGTACTTGAAGGCAATGCACTAGTATACAATACAAGATTGTGGTTGTGCACTTCAACATTCAAAGTTTTTCCACATTCGTATGAATATTTTTAACAGCAAAACTGATTTTGTCATTATCATCTGGAAATTTACATAACGTATGTTTGTGCATTGTTTGCTCATAAACTGCTACACTTTCATGTCCATTACGTGCTGATCGCACTGTTGATTTCTATCGTCTCAAACTACCACTGTATGCTTATTCAGTATGTGTTTTAACAGACTACAGTATTATAATTGAAACAAGGGACTCTGTACTGCCATTATTGCATGGTAACAGGGCTCGCTTGGGGATGTTCGCTTGAATTATGGGCTGTACTTTGTCTCGCTCATTATTGCACACATCTCATCCTAGTTATGCATTATGGGCAGTATGGAGTACTTTATTCTCTATTTCAAAAGAATTCCTGATTTTCTCTCATTTCGCAGTCTAGAATAGTTTGTTAAAAATATGGATTTAATTTTGCCGAATATGGAGTTCAATATCCAAATTATTTTCATGTTATCACATTTGAATTTCTTGTTATCAGTGTTGATTTCATGTTACTTTTTATGAAATTAATATTATTGCCAAATATGAATCTCCTTACCTCAATTGTTGATTTCATGTTCCAGGACACCAAATATGGATAACACATTAGCATATAAGGTTTTATAAGTTACCAAATATAGAGAATTGTCCTTCATTCAACTTCAAATACTAATCTCTCACATTGATATTACTTGCATACCTTGAATAATCCAGCTTTCAGACGACGTTCAGCTTACTCTGCCTTTCAGTGATGGAATGCAGGAAACCTCTTCATACAAATCATAGTACTTCATCAGCCATCCTAGAAAATATCCATTACAATTGTCGTATTAAAAACCAACTCTATTACTGCCAACATATGGTTTTTACAAAAACTTTTCATTTTCTATGTCTTTTAGCATTTCTGTCTCTGTTCAGCTTTGTCAAAAATACCATAAGGGACTGTTTCATGTATAAAAATTCATAACGTCGCTCAAAATACAGCCCACATTGAGCTCAAATTAATTAACGAAAAACAATTTTATTTTAATGTGAGTGAATTTTAATTTACATTTTGTTTAATATACCGTAAAATGCAATTATCGTCTTCATCATCTGTAGTGTTGTCTTCATGTGGCTATGAAAACTTTTTCATCAATATTTCAGTATGAGTGATCATTATTGATTTTTAGAGTGTCCTGTAACACACTGACAGTTTCTATTTTCAGCAGTGCACGTACACAATACTTGTTTATTTGGGTGTATTTTTTTTCCATTCAATCACCATAGCCATATGTTTTTATTGTCGAGAAAACACTTTTGTTTTGTTCCGGTGTTTGATCATTAGAATTTGTTCATCAACATGCTTTTTATAAGTTCCTCTGATTTTATACATTAACACGCATATAAATACATGAATTCATAATATATTCCTGAGTGTGTTACCGGTAAATGTATGGATACCGAGATATCGAGTCAAGTTAAATTTTGCCTATTTTCACTTAAAACATTACATTTTGAAATTCACATATTTTACATGTATTGTATACTGGTCCCATATCAAACATGATATGACGTGACAACTGTAGCATTTTAAGTGTAAATAAATACAAAATGGTTTGTTACAAACTTTTTTCATGTTACACACATGGTAATTAACCTAACAACTAGATATCTCAAATCTATTTATTAGGTTTATGTGTCACTTCTCTCAGTCCCCCCAGATATTGATTGAAGATTATAATTAAAAAAAATGGTTATCCCAAAGGATAAATCAACCAGCTAATGCATGTACATGTGCACGCCGTTGATCATTTTATTATGTTTAAAATTTATTTTTAATTAAAATTGTTCACATTTGATTGTTACCATTTAATTATTCAATTAACGCAGCATTAACAGTGAGATACTTGAATGATTTTACTGTCATTAATGACCTCCAATTAAATATTAACTTTATTTTTTTCTTTCATAGGTCTCTCTTGAAAATAAAGAAGCTATTATTACATTCCAAGCAGAGAACATATCACCACGGCAACTGAGAGATAAAATTGACGACATGGGTTTTGAAGCTAGCGTGAAGCAGGATGGTGGTGGGAATGTGAATGTTGTAGTAATTTCTATAGAAGGGATGACCTGCAACTCCTGTGTGAGATCAATCGAGGGTCAACTGTCAAAGGTTAAAGGGATCGAGAATATAACGGTGTCACTGGACAAAAAGGAAGGATATGTGAAATATGCATCAAATTTTATATCTGCAGATGAGATAAGAGATGCCGTGGACGATATGGGATTTGAAGCCAGAATTAAACATTCCGACAGAACAAAAACTTTTACAGTACACATCAATGGTATGACATGTGGCTCTTGTGTTAAGACGATTGAAGGAAAGATGAGCCAAGTCGTTGGCGTGAGGAGAATTAGCGTATTGCTGGAGAAAAGTGAGGCCATAATAGAGTACGATGTGACAATGTCTGATCCTGAGAAATTGAGAGATGCAATCGACGACATGGGGTTCAAAGCTACCCTCAAGGAGAGTCCAGTTCTGGCGGAATTTGATCCACTGATGCAGGTGAAGTTAGAAACCATGGAAACCGTGACAGTTGATATCCAAGGTATGACCTGTAATTCTTGTGTCAAAAGCATAGAGGGGAAAATATCTGAACTCGTAGGTGTGCAAACCATCACGGTTTCTTTAGTAAATAATAATGCAGTAATAACTTACAATCCCGATAAAATAACTCCTGAGAAGTTGCAGAACCGTATTGATGAAATGGGTTTTGAGGCGTCTTTGTCTTCAAATGGGATGTCTACTGTTGTGCTGGGAATTGTAGGAATGACTTGTAATTCGTGTGTTCGGAGCATTGAAGAGAAGATATCTGAACATTCCGGAGTGAGTAACATCAAAGTTTCCCTGCAGGATAAAAACGCTACTGTCTTGTACGATTCTAGACTCACTGATGTTGGGAAGTTGAAAGATGCGATTGATGAGATGGGTTTTGAAGCTAGTTTCCCTGGAGACCGCCTCTCAAAGGCATCTTTTCAGACCATTACACTTGAAATTGAAGGAATGACTTGTAATTCATGCGTTAAAAACATTGAAGGGAAAATCTCTGATATCCAAGCTGTTAAAAGGATAACTGTGTCTCTGAAAGATAAAAATGCTACAATAGTTTTTGATCCAAGTGGGACTGATCCGGAGAGTCTCAGAGAAGCGGTCAATGACATGGGTTTTGAATGCCGCTTGCCACTGGCACTTCCTCAACAGGGCATTTTACGAACAGCATTGATAACCGTAATTGGAATGACATGTAACTCTTGCGTGAGGTCAATAGAAGGCAAGTTGGTGGACGTGTCTGGTGTGAACTCTATCAGTGTATCTCTGGATGAAAAGATGGCGACTATACAGTATAATCCAATGAAAGTAACAGTTGACCAATTAGTCAATGAGATTGATGAAATGGGATTTGAAGCATCTGTGCCAGGTGAGTGAAAAAAATGTGTTGTCCTATATTAGAAAATTCATATTGAATTTGGACCAGAGAGCGGGTTTGCTACCCTCCATTGCAAAAATATATTCCATTTTTATTTTCACCAGATTTACCGTTAACATTGGATTTTAATTAAATTTAACACTTACCGTAAAATCTGTATTAGAAGCTGCATCCCTAATAGAAGTCGCACGCATTCTTTTTAACGATTGGGGATCAAAAATTCATCATTTCTCATATGTGTAGATGCTCTAATAGAAGCCGCATCCCCTCTGTTGCATTGTAACATTTTATTATAAACCACGGCTTCTAATACAAATTTTACAGTAACTATCAAATCCTAAAATATGATAATTATTTTTTTTAAATCAATTTTTTTCACCTTTCATATGATAATTTTATTTTTAATATTTCTAAAAAATCATGAAAATTACCAAAGAAATTTTGGAAAAGAAACCTAAAAATGTGGTACTAAAATTTTGGTATGGAGAAATCTTGCATGTAACTGGTCTTAGGAACAAGTTTATTCAGAGAATTCTGGAATGCCAATCAGAAAATTCATTTAAAATTTAAGTTTTTGAATAGCCAGTAACAATTTCAATACGATATACCACCATTGTTTGCTCAGTATTTATCAAATGAATTTTCTTTCATGTAATCCTGACAGTGAGTAAACTTCATTGATGATCTGTTTAGTTTGGTGCTTCTCAACTGTGTTACCTCTCCAACTTTTATATTTTCTGCAATGGACTTAATAATTTAGTTTAAATATTTAAAAAAATGTATGGCACTGAAATGATTGCTCTGATTAAGAAATTTTACTGAAATTCTCGGTGAGTCTACTGAACAAGTTTTGTTTTTAAAATAGACAGGCTGTTAGACAGGATTGTTTAGAATTAACTACACTCAATTAAACCTATCAATTCCATTTCAAGGAATGAATTCACAATCGTCAATTTTCCCATTTTCTCAGTTACTATTCATCACATTCTGTCACTAAAAACTGTATTTTTATAGGTAAACGTTATATAAATATACCAATACTTTACCATACAATCATGACAAAAACAACCTGCTTAATAAATAAATAAATACACTTGTGTTATTTCACCCTAAAATTGATAATACCCTGGTACATGTACATGGAATATATAAGAACTTATGAGTAGTGCTTACCGTAGAAATTTCTCAGAATATTTGGTCTTGACTTTTTCTACAAGCAATTAATCATGTTACACAATAGTAGACGTGTACAGTGCGTTATTTTTTCCTAACATATGGGTGATTTGCATAATTGATTGATATACAAATAAGTGTAGGCATTCACTGCCAGTTGAATAGGTGTGTAGTAAATAAATATACTGGGTGATGGAGAGAATATATATAAAGTGTGTCGTGCATTAAACAACTATGACAGCAATTGGAGCCAGTCATTTTGTATCTGACTGAAGGTGATAGCGTACGCGCACACTGACTGGCTGGTGGACTTAAATATATGGATATATATGTACAGATGAGATAAGCCTAATTAGTGTTAATAGTCAGGTTGGTTGTGATTGTATTAACTATAATTTTGATATATATTTTAATAGTTTTAGATTTTTTTAAAAACATTGATTTAATACATCGCGTGCTGTATAGTTTTCCCATTGATTTTAAGTGTGTCTGCAGTGGCTATCGGCAAACATTGTGTTATTATTAGCACTTTGAGTGTGACAAAGATGCCCTCAAAATTGGCGCTGCTACATTTTTATGTTTTTTTTTTGTTAAATTTGGAACCAGAAAGGCATAATTTTTCCATTGTTTACTAGTTCTCCTAAAAAAAATTTAAAATTTAAGGAAATAATTAATATGCAATTGACTTTGACATTCAAAAGTTGGCACATGGATTCAACAGGTGACAGTGGTTGATGTGTTGCCATTATAACATATTAGTTTATCTGAACGTCAGTCTAAAACATTGTAATATTGCATATGTCACATATATACATTATGACATAACCCATAATGACATCACACATCTGTGACACAACTTATTGTATTCTGTAGCTATTTACCAGTAGTTATTTTACATGTTAACTCTCTCCTTGACCTTTTCATTGAAGTATGATTGTTTATTGAATACAGTTAATAGTTAATTAACCATTACTAATCAACTAGATTATTTTGTTGGCAGTCTGTCTAATAATTTCAATAATTCTTGTGCGAGTTTTGATAATCTTATTAATATACCGTTATCACAAATTTGTAAAGTCATGGAGTTTTGGTCTTTGATTATATTAAACAGTAATATTGGTAGTTGTAAATTTATTAAGCTTTCAGGACATGATGGATGCATCAAAACCAGAACAGCTGCCAATTCTGACATATAATTACGAAAATTTACAAATACACCTGTAACATTAGACGTTGTGTTGTCTTCCTTTTCAAATCCAGCAATCATAATATTGTTGAACTTACTTAGTTTAAAATTCCTGAATGAACTACCGGGTATTCTAATTTACCGGGTATACTAACACCTACTGGCGGATTTGTTATTTATTTATCTGTGAAATGGTTCGGAATATAAAAATATAAAAGTTTGAAAGTAAAAATAATCAAATTTTTAATAGATCACCAAACTGAAATGTATGAATGTTCAGGAACAAGCAAGATGTGGGCTATCCAATTAAAAATCTGAAAAAGTCAGTTCCTGCCTTACAGTACAGTCTGAACATACCTTAACATTAAGCTAGTTTGAAGAATGCCTAAAGCTATCTTAACTTGTTTTTCAAAACTAAAAGACGTATCTATCTGAATTATACTGAGTACTGTAAAATACTTTATTTTCACTTGGAATTAGTTTTGGCTAAAGGGATGATTCAGTGAAAATAAAATCCAGCGAATATACCTTTTTTCCTATTTTTTACATTCAACTTGTCAAAAATCAGTGAAAATAAATTCCATACAAAACACCCAAAAAGTGTTTTCAGCGAAAATTAAGTCCAGCTAAAATAAAGTATTCTACAGTAATCTTCCTAAGTATGTCTCTTTTTGATAACATGGGCAAATATTACAAAAAAAAGTTGAATTATTGGTCGCAATGACACTTGCTTTAAAAATAAGATTTTATGAAAATACAAAGCCAGCTGATAGTCAGCTTGGAAATTAAAATGGGAGGGTCGTCACCAGCGTACGTCCGGGAATTGAGTCCCAAGCAACGATAACACACGCTAAAAACGCAAAGGCTCGTGGGTAGACACTTGTTTGTAAACCATGACATGCTCTGGCCATCTGACGCATGTGCAGGTGATGACTCCCTCGCTTTAAGTTATGTCTGACTGTATTGTACCGGTATACATTATCAGAATCACACATTTTGCGTTTTGACTTATCTACTTTGCTAAGTTTTAAATGACATCAATTTCACCTACTCGCTTAAAATTTATTTTCGCTATTTTCACTGAAGGAATGATTTAGTGAAAATAAAATCCAGCGAATATCCTTTTTTTTTCTATATTTTACATTCAACTCGTCAAAAATCAGTGAAAATAAATTCCATACAAAACACCCAAAAAGTCATTTCAGCGAAAATTAATTCCAGCTAAAATAAAGTTTTACAGTATTATTTCATCATAAAGTATTTGTTCTAAAATTAATATTAGGTTTTAGAGAGATATTAATAGAATGTGTAAAAATACTCACATCAACAATTTGGTAAGTTGTTGTCTGATGAGGAATGAAATGCAAATGAAAGGAGATGAAACAAAAGAATTTGTAGAAAACGTGCATCTCAATGTGTAGATTCGTCAGTGTCATCTGGAGCGCACAGGCTGTTAGCAACACATGCACACAATGTATAATGAGAATAAGAAAATTGACACTGCCATCAATGTTTCCAAATTATATGTGAATGGTTTTTGTAAAGGTTTATTTTTAGAAGAAGTATGAGTGAGTTCTCTACTGCATATTATGTAATAGCAATTTTAATATTGTGTGCAATTTTATTGTATTAGGGATTAAGCTGTCTTAGTCCTGACTGGTTGAAGGTGTAATTTTTTTTGTTAGTGACAAGTGGGAGAAATAAAATGTTGAGTTATGAATATTCACTGAAGCTCATTGTACATTGTAGCTATATAATGCTATATAATATACCAGATTGTCTGAATGCTGAGATGTAAGAGAACACAGTCCACTTTTTGTATCATCGCTTGTTATACAGATTAGAGGGCGACAGTGATCGTGTCGCTGCGTCCTGTTCGATATGGGACTCATAGCGACATATACAACGCACGTAAAACACACTGCTTATTTACATGAAATTCGAACATGCACTGCGCGATGACAACCGCGCTTTAACATAACTACCGGTAAGTTACTGAGATTGTTGTGAATTAAAAGAAAATAGAAATTATGTTTGTAATCTGAGCCATAAAATTGTTGATACAAGTCGTATGGAAGTATTCCTACATTCTTGGAACTTGATTCACCATTTCCCGTTTCAACAGCATCCAGTTTCCACAGCCTGTACCCAACTATATTGCATATATTTGTACATGTATAGTTTCTTATATTGTCATTATAAAGAACTGTTAAATTATATATACCAATATTGTTAATTAAATTATAATTTGTTTTTTCTAGATGAAGCAAAAAAAATAGCCAAACCACCTATAACCAGTTCAAACCAAATTACTAGCTCCAAGTCCACCGGGGATAAGTGGAATGTCAAGTTCAGTGGCGATTCTGTCATGGCAACAGACGTAGAGGAAGGAAGTGGAAGGATGATGACCTGTCATCTTCACATAACGGGAATGACATGCGCTTCATGTGTGGCCTCCATTGAAAGAAATTTATCGAAGAATAAAGGTACGTTCATGTATGTGATAAAAGCCACTCATGTATTTGATAAAGCTCTCATATAAATGTTCTAGAATATAAAGTGCAACCCAAAATAAAATGTTGTGGTTTACAAGCACAACATTTTATGATTGTGAGGAATTTAAAAGAGTTTTAGTTCACCTCGGACTTAAAAATTTACTGACATTGTGTTTCAGATGGCTAAATGGACAGCATGTCTGTCATATCACCCATTGTGCAAGCTCTGAGTTTGAACCCAGTTTTGCTGTTTTTTTTAGGCCGAGAACAATTTATGAAAAACAAAAAGATTTGACTACAGAACTCCAATGTAGTCACATAATAATGGCCAATATGGAGTTTTTTATGAAAATATGTGCAACAATGTCTTCGAGAAGAAAGAAATCGACGATGTGAATCATAATGAGTTTGTCATCATAATATTGTTCGTATGTTTATGCATTGGCTCCAAGCACTCAAACGCTCGTGGTACTGGCTGACCAATAAAAACATGTCATTGCAATGTATGATGTTTTAATAATCCGCAGTGCGTATATATTACAGCCACTTATGACAGTTTTAGCACTACTGAGCATGTTAATGCACATGTATACGCAATGCATTATGGGAGAGAACTTCCTAATATAATTAAAAACTAGTATTACCAAAAATTATATGTCAATTTTTGGAAATGTTTTTACAATATTGGGATTCATGTCTATAATAATGACTTTTTCATCCCATGTTACGGAGCAAAATTTTGAAATATGAAAAAAAATAAACTCATTATCAAAACAAATTTCAGGCTCTTGTATCTCAAAAAAATGTCCACTTACCTCAAATTTTTTTTTCATTTTCTGTATCCCGATGACATTAATTCATAGTAATGAAAATATGACAAAAATATCATACACATGTAATTTTCAATTTGGCTTGAACCTCATTATTAGTCCCTGTTCGAACGCAGTCTCAAAACGGGGATGGATTGATTGTATGTCTGTGTGCCGTTCATACATGTGTGCATCTGGACTTGTATCTTAGACATTGCCTGGACCGATTACATTCAAACTTCACACATACAGAATATTATACTTATGCTCATCATGATAGCCGAATGAGGGCCATTTTTGTAATGAAAAATCACCAAAATCAAGCATTTCTCGGCTGTTTACAGATGGATTTTGTTCAAACCTGGTACATGAATTGGACATTATGGGACCTTGATGCACATCATTATGTTTGTCAGATAGGACTTAAAATGGCTGACTGGTGGCCATTTGTTTTAATGAATGCGGCTCTAGAGCTATTTCTGACATGCTTTGACTGATGTTCAATTTTATACATTCATTATATGTATTGGTTTGACGATCCGAATCAAAATGGCCGACAGGTGGCCATTTTGTTTTAATTAATGCTGTTCCAGAGCAATATCTCTCAAATATGGACAAGTACTTGTACTATATTACTATAAACAAAACTATATAACTTTGATTTGATAACTAACAGGGACTGTGTAATGCATGGCTTGTTAATTATTAAAATAACATTAATAACACATATATTATAATTATATAATAATTTATTTTGTTTAGGTATAATATCTGTGCTTGTAGCTCTGATGGCACAGAAGGCAGAAGTTAAATATGATAGCAGTCAGCTGACACCTCATGACATAGCAGTGTTAATTGATGACATGGGATTTGGTGCTACTGTATTGGATGAGGACAACGTATCAGACGGTGTTGTTGAACTCATGGTGAGTCAAGATGTCTGTTTTTTTAATCTCATTAACAAAGCACATGATGTGTAGATAGATACTCAAAAAATAAAAAAAATGTTTTAATTTGAAAGTTCATGATCATTCAAAAATAATTTTTCTTGCTAAAATTTTGATGCATTATTTTGCGTTTTTCTTTAATGTTTTGTTAATTTTTGATCAGAGAAGCATAACTTTCTTTCTACAGATCTGGATCAAAAGTTTTTAAAAAAATATGACCAAATATATATAAATTGTGAAAATCGTTGTCACCCATCATTCACACATGTAGGTACATTTGTACATTATACATTTTGTACATGTGTACACTTACTCACTACATTGAGTTATGTTTTTGATGTCTGCCCTCTAGTGTTGAAAGTAGATTATTACTTTTGTTTTTCCAGTCGCTTTAGATATAGCCAATGTAGATTATAACAATTCGAGATGTTAATTCACCGCCCTCTTCCTGTGACAATCTGAATCAGACATGCCAGGCCATGAATTCTGATTCGTATTTCCCTATTGACCTTCTTTAATTTTGTGGTTACTGCTCTTACCTGTAATTCATGAGGCAATTGAGAGAAATTGTCCCCTTGGGCAGTAATTGTCTACAATCAGGTATGTACGACCTAGAAAAAGTGCCATATGCGAGTACCAAGTTGCGAGTCGCAAGTAGCAAAATATGCAATATGCTACCCGGTAGTGGTAAAAACGGCATATGCGGGTGGTAAAATGTAACGTTTGCTAGTAGCAAAAAAGCCCTATGCGAGGGGTAATACAAGGGCCAGGAAAACTGGTGTATGCGAGGGGTGGAGTCATTTGCCAGTTTGCTCAACGACTGGATTTGTTTGCTTATAATATAATAACGTACGTTCAAATGTGTTTTATCACAGTAAAATCAAATATTTACCATGGTTATGAAATGATGTGTACATGGTTGGTTAAGATTGGCATGATGCTGTTGAGGCTTTTACTTTAGGGGTGATTCATATATTCATTTAAGTTTTTATATCATAAAGTTCTTCAGTCGTTTGCATAGAATCGATGTTTGCTCTTCAGACACTGCACAGGAGACGTGACAGCACAATAATTTAATAAACGACCATGACCAGCCAGCACACTCCACATAACATGTGAAAATTGTTTTTTCTTTTGGTAAAATTAGTATGAACCCGTGGGCTGCGATTAAAGAATCATAGAATTATAATTGTAGTTAGTGAAAACGGGGTGTTCACAGAAGGGTCACAGAATTCTTGTGTCACACGCCGCCGGTTAAATGAAGACAATGAAAGGTTTCAAAAGTAGTCATAACACCAGTTTTCCTGGCCTTTGTATTACCCCTCGCATGGGGCTTTTTTTGCTACTAGCAAATGATACATTTTACCACTCGCATATGCCGATTTTACCACTAGCATATGGCATATTTTGCTACTCGCAAACTGGTACTCGCATATGGCACTTTTTCTAGGTCTTACATACCTCCTACAATCGTTGGTTTACTTCTCAGCTTAGTTGAATAATTGGAGTATGAAAACAATAAACATTCTGTAATGATCTTGTGGTTCTGGATGCATACTTCCAAACTAGTCTGTGGGTGCACATAATTACTGTAAAACGGTTAATTATTCACTGGGTTTTAATTTTGCTTATTTCACTGACTAGAAAATGTGCTAAATTAAAACCCAGTGAATATGTAAAATTTAGCATAGAACACATTATCTAAATGATAAAACCGTGAATTTAAAACCCACTGAATATGTCTGAAATGGTAAGTCGACGAAATTTAAACCCAGTGAAAATTAGTCATTTCACAGTATAACAGTTCATTGTAGCTGAATATTGGTAGGGTGAGGGGGGGGGGTCTGGGTTACATTGGATCTATTGATAATGCCAGATACAGGAGTACATACATGTTAGTATGTGTTTGTAATTTGTATTTAATAATGCAATATATAAGTGAAATCTGTGTATTCCCTGGATGTAAACAGTCTGGTGGACAGTGCTTTGGTTTAACACAATACTGGTCCAAAACTACCATGCATATCACCTTGACTGTCCAGCTGTACTATAAAGTGCCTACTTTATTTAAAATAAGGAGTTTTGTTTCTTAATAATTGAGCACATACGGTGTGAGGGAAGTATGTTAATCATCACAATTTTTTTTTAAATAATTATGTAAATAATTTGCAAATGTTGTGCTAATTAGTATATGCAAATGACAATGTTTACTGCCACAATTTCTCATTGTGTGCTGAAGTGCTTTTTATTCCATAACTACATGATTACATAATTATATACTTCGTATACTTGATTTGAATTTTGTCTTCGCCTAGATTACTGGGATGACATGCTCCTCTTGTGTTCATCACATTGAAGTCTGCCCTAGTGAAGGAACAAGGGATTAGATCTGCATCTGTTGCCTTGGCAACCAGCCGAGGGAAATTCAAGTTTGACCCATCAATAACAGGACCAAGAGACATTATAAAGCACATTGAGGTGGGTGTGGCATTTTGATTTATTGATTCTGCTGATGACGATGAGTGGATGATTTTTAAACGATTGCAAATTGTGAATTTTCATTGCTTCAAATAAATGCTTGTTCCTCTATCTATCTATATATTCTGTTGAGTAATATTAAGAAATTTATGCATGTAGGAACAAAATCGTTTTTTCCTGCTAGCTATCACAGTTTCAAGTTTACGAATATGATTTTATTCCAACAGGATGCAGGGTTTGGGGCAACTTTGGCGAAGAACGACTCAAAATCGAAAACAGCTGGACTACAACAAAAGGCAGAAATAAAAAAGTAAGATTTAATATATTTTTTTATACATTGTGCACGTTAATTCTATGTTTGAGTGCAATTAAGTTACAAATTAGTGGACAAACCAATGAGGAGAATGTACAGTACAATTGAAAATAAAATATAATGAATGACTCTGAACTCTCTTGCTAGTATTCAATGAGATAGTATATTTAGTCCCCGTTCGGATGCAGTCCGAAAACAGGGACTTATGTTTTGACCTCCGTGTGTCCGTGTGTCCGTGCGTGCATGCGTCCGGACCTGTATCTTAGAAATGCCTGGACCAATCACAATCAAACTTCACACATACATCACACATAATATTATACTTATGCTCATCAATTTGTTTCACAGTGTGATTCATGATAGCCGAATGAGGGCCATTTTTGTAATGAAAAATCACCAAAATCAAGCATTTCTCGGCTGTTTACAGATGGATTTTGTTCGAACTTGGTATATACATAAGACATTATGGGATCTTGATGCAAATAATTTTGTTTTTCAGATAAGATTCAAAATGGCCGGCCATTTTGTTTTAATGATTGGGCTTCTAGAGCCATGTCTCTTAAATGCTTTGACTGATTATGTTCAAATTTTATATATTCGTTATACATCATGTTATATATATACATGTATTCAAAATAGCTGATTTTGAATGCTGTTCCAGAACAATATCTCTCAATATGGACAAGTACTTGTTTGACGATCAGATACAAATGTCAATCATTTTAATGTTAAAAAATCATATTTCTGACATGTTTATATTCCAGCTATATTACTATAAAAAAAACTATATATCTTAAGTTTGCTAACTAACGGGGTCTGTGCCATGCATGGCTTGTTTATTTTTGCTTTTCAGATGGCGCCGATCTTTCCTGTTCTCTCTCATATTTGGTATACCAGTTCTTATTGTCGTTATTTACTTCAGATTGCTATCTGATAACAGTTCCCATTGTATATTTCCTGGTGTCTCCTTGGAGAATCTACTTTTGTTTTTTTTATGCACACCTTGTCAGGTGAGTTAAAATATCTCTTTTTGTTCAGGTGGATGTATTATAATTTTAAATGATGTAGACACAGTTGTAACATTATTACCAATAATCAGTCATAGCTAATAATATGCATATCACAACGGCATTATTATTTATATTCAAATTGACTTGTGTAATGTCATTGCTATGAATGTATGGATCTGTGAAGTATGATACTGTAAAATACTTTATTTTAGCTAGAATTAAAAATGTAATATTTCCCTGAAAAAAAAAAAAAAAACGTTTTGGCTGTTTTGTCATTAAATGTGAAATCTAGGAAAAAAGCTATTTTTCACAGATTCATCCCTTCAGCAAAAATAATGAAAATAAATTCTAAGTGAAAATAAATTACTTTACAGTATACCTTGAAAACAAACCATACCGAGACAACACAAACACTGCCTGCTGTATTGCTATGTAATATTTCATTAGCACAGAAATCTGTGTCATCACTAATTACTTGTCTCCATGGCAACAGAACATTACAATGGGAACATGCATGTGCAGACTGACTTTTGGGTAACTTGCCCGCCACTGCCCACCATATTGTTTATTGAAATTAGGTTTTGAATTCTGTCAAGTTAATAATTTTTGATTTTTTTAATTTCAGTTCATTGGTGGTCGATATTTCTATGTGCAGGCATTGAAAGCAATAAAACACAAGACAACCAATATGGACGTTCTCATCGTCCTGGCAACCTCTGTGGCATATTTATACTCAATAACCATTCTAGTTTTAGCGATAATAGAGGAAGCACAAGTCAGTCCCAAAACTTTCTTTGATACTCCGCCAATGCTGCTCGTCTTTGTGTCACTCGGAAGATGGTTAGAACATGTTGCTAAGGTAACATATTTAATAAAATTATGATGTGGTCACACTTTGGTAAATTTTTTTGCCTTTCACTTTTCTATGTTTTTTAGTTGTTGTTAGTGTTCAGTGACAAATTCTTTTGTTTTTGGCCTAATATTAGTAAATAGAATTAGATAGAAATACATGTACACCACATGATATCAAAATTCAACAAAGAATGAAGGTTATGTGTTGTATACATTTGACCCATATCGAACATGATGCAAAGTTAAATGAATGGGTAATTGTTTACGACTTTCAAATGAAAAAGTTAAAGAACTTATTTCCGCGAAAATTTGTGCATCATTTTGGCAACCACTGCAGTAGTAGATGTATATACTCACAATGATACCTTTCTATAGCAATTGTTTTTCTGAAACAACCATTTTAAGATCATGTTTTAACATGACCTGCATGTACATATATTGAACATAAGTTTGTTAAAGGTAAATGGTTTAAATGTCTGATTGATTTTATGTAGTTATTGTCAATATCAGCACTCACCTATTTTCTTTCATTACTGATAGGGTAAAACATCTGAGGCACTTGCCAAGCTGATGTCACTACAGGCAACTGAAGCTGTCTTATTAAAGCACAATGAGCTTGGTGAAGTGGTGTCAGAACAACACATTAGCGTGGATCTTGTACACCGTGGAGATATCTTGAAAGTAGTGCCCGGTGCCAAGGTTCCAGTTGATGGTCGAGTTATTGAAGGTACCACAACAGTAGATGAGTCGCTTATTACTGGGGAATCTATGCCAGTAGCCAAGAAAGTTGGTAAGTTATTTGTTTGTTGTTTAAAATATATTTCCTGTGGATGTACTCATAGGAGCAATATATATATATATATATATATACAAGGGTACAAACCTACATATATAATAAACCCATGTTGGCATATTTAGTGTTTAGCGCATTTGTCTCTCATCAAGAAGATTGTAGGCTTTTTACTCACTCAGCATAAAATAAAGTATAGGGTTTTTTCTAGAAAAAAAAACTGCAAGAGGGAGCACTGCAATTCAGCGGCGCCACCAAGTGGTGGGGATGGGGTTCTCCCTACCAGGGTGTTGAGTTATTGATAATTCTAAGTTAAAAAGGAGCATTTTATGGCTTCCGTGGGGCAAAATTTACTATCAGACAGGTCACAGTTGAAGACTGTGGCCACATGTGATCCCTGGTCAATCAGAATTTTATGGTTGCCAGAGGATCTGATCCCAAGGGTAAGGGGGCGCATGGCCATGACATGAGGGCGCTGCACCCTGTTTCCTTGTTTAAAAGAATCCCTGTTTTACCTAGCTAGACTAACAAAAATGTGGTATTAGTTTGGAGAAGAATGTTCTTTTGGATGGGAAAGATACAAACTGTTTGTCCTGTGTGCTGTTTCCATCCTCATTGGACATTAAAAAAACAAAACGTGTTCTCATCGCAAAGATTCCCACAGTGTGATGGCTTCTTTTTCTCATTTTATCTCTTTGGGCTTCCATATTAATTGAGCTCCTTGTCTGTTGATCTCAGTAATAAATAAATAGATAAGAAAAAAATTCATTTGATATTCAGGTGCTGCTGTTATTGGTGGATCCATAAACCAGAATGGAACTATTATACTAGAAGCAACACATGTAGGAAATGACACCACGCTATCTCAGATTGTAAAACTGGTAGAAGAGGCACAGACATCCAAGGTAACAATTTGTAATAAAA